CCCTTTTTTGACCAAGAGGTGCAGGTTCCACGGAGCGGACTCGTTCTGCTGTCAGCCCCAGCTTCTGCCAACCTAGCAGTTCGAAAACATGCAAATGTGAGTAGATCAATAGGTACCACTCTGGTGGGAAGGTAACGGCGCTCCATGCAGTCATGCTGGCCACATGACCTTGGAGGTGTCTACGGACAACGCCGGCTCTTTGGCTTAGAAATGGAGATGAGCACCAACCCCCAGAGTCAGACACAACTAGACTTAATGTCAGGGGGAAACCTAATAATATAATATAATATAATATAATATAATATAATATAATATAATATAATATAATATAATATAATATAATATAATATAATATATAATATAATATAATATAATATAATATATTGTATGTACGTATAATATTTATAATATTATAATGTAATGCAATATAATAATAATATAATGATATCTATATAAATAAAAATGTAATGTTCGTTTGTGGGATTAACAACTCAAAAACCACTGGACAAATTGACACCAAATTTGGACAAAAGACACCTATTAGGTCAATGAGTGACCATCACTCATAAAAACACTGAAAAACACAGCAGAAGGGACTCTAAAAGCCTAAAAAGCCAAAGGATGCTACAGCGCATGCGCAAAATGACTCTCCCTGGCAAGTAAAATACACAATAGCATATCCACACTATCTTCCAGACTACAGCTCCTAGCATCCCCTAGACCAGACCCTTTAGGAGAGGAGGAGGATCCAAATGCACTGCTTCCAAGATGCAAGATTTCTTCTCCTTGGATCTCTTTGAGAGCATCCCAATCCATTCATATTTCCAATTTCCTATTCCTGGACTGCAACTCCCAGCATCCTCCAGATAGATAGATTAGATGGAGATAGGTAAGTAGGTAGATTGATCAGGAGGACTGCAGTCCAAGAATAGGTAGAGAAGGAAGAAAGGGGAGAAAGAGGAAGGGAAAGATAAAGGGGGAAGGAAGGGAAGAGGCAGAGAAGGAAGGAAGGAGAAAAGGAAAGAAAAAGGGGAAGGAAAGAGGGAAGGAGAGAAAGAGGGAGGGAAGGTTGGCCACAGCAACGTGTGGCGGGTACAGCTAGTAATAATAATAATAATAATAATAATAATAATAATAATAATAATAGCAATATGATATTATAATAATATATTTATATTACATGTAATATTACTAATAATATTACAATATAGTGGTATGGTGCAATATAGCAATGTTTAATAATAATAATATTAAAACTTTATTGATACCCCGCTACCATCTCCCCAAGGGACTTGGTGCGGCTTACATGAGGCCGAGCCCACAATACATCAATACAAGCAATAACAGACACAATACAAGGCAATTAAAATAAATCTCATACACAAATAGCATAAACATTAAACATTAAAATGCTGATATTGTACTATGCTAATAATGTAATATATTGTATGTCATATATACCTTGTAAGCTGCTCTGAGTCCCCTTCAGGATGAGAAGGGAGGCATATAAATGTTGTAAATAAATACATAAATAAATAAATAACCTTTACCTAGGAATTTAAGCTCAGGAAAGGATTAGGAGAAATAAAACAGGGCAGAATAGGCACCTCAATTCCTTTTTTAACCCTTTTCCATGAGGACTAGAAGCTTGATTTAATTTTGATTGAGTAAAGGGCCAAGACTCCTCTGAGATTATGGAAAGCTAACCTTGAAAGACAAGATTTTAAACTTCTTGTATTCCAAGGCCTTCTTTCAATGGAGTTCCCCAACTATCACCCCAAATGATGCCAAAGGAGCTGGAGGTGATGCTCGGTGAGAGCCAAGGGTCCTGCAGCGCTTCTTGACTCGGAACAAATGCAAAGCACAATAACAGTTCCTCTCCTTTTCTGTTTGAAAGCACAAATATTCCCGAGCCATGACTTCCCTGGAGCAAATGAGGAAGAAGCCCGGATCGGTCCAAGCGGCCGTCAGGAACAAGCCCCCGTCTGTCCTTAATGTCATCTAGACCCAAGGATCCCTTTGCCTCTCGTGTTTCTCACTCAAGAAGAATTCAGCCGAGAGATCCTCCGGAGACAGAACCAAAGCAAGTCCACTTTCGGCATCATAAAAACTCCGGTGTTTCTTAAGTATTGCTCTGAACGATCTGGTCTGAAACCTTACTTCAGGCCCTGGTATTCATTGAGATGCATACTTTGGTTAGGAAGACCAAGCAAAAGGTTACTAAAAAGTGTAAAGGGAGACTTTGCACACCTGAGTTTGGCTTGAAATAATATTTAATAAACAGGGGAAATGGTTCTGTGGCTCATGTGTTTTCTTCACAGGAATCTCGAGAGAAGGACTGTAAGGAAGACTATCATGCAATGAGACAGACTAGGAAGCTGCTAGCCTTGCTGGATTGGATCAAAGACAAGCTCCTATAACTTTTGCAGATTTTGGAGAGGGACAAGTTATGGTAAAGCTGTGTCAAACTAGATTGGGGTACTTGTCCTCTCTCCCTGTCTAAATTCCAACTTTCTGCCAAATTTGGGGGCTTGAAAAGTTTGGACGGGCCCCTTGTCGGGTGCCAAGATCTGTTAAGACTGTGCAGAAACCGTCCCATTTGACAACCCAGAAAGGGAAGATCTGGGGTTGGCATTCCTTTAAGAGGTCCAAGAGGGACATGTTCTTGTGGGGAGAGGCTCACCTATCTATCTGTTGCACTCCAGGCAGGGAAAGCCCTCTAAACACCACACAGCAGAGTAAAAATGCAAGCTGATTATTGAAGATATTTTAAAAGCAGTAGCAGTAAAAAGCAATCCACAAAAATAGGTAAATCCAATTAGGTAGAAAGATAGATAGAAACAAATAGTCCAGGAAATTAGTCCATCAAAGTTCATGAAAACAAATACTGAAACTTCCAATGTAAAACCCCAAAACTTGAACAAGAATCAAATGAGGCACTTAGCACAGGAATCTATCCAAGACAAGGCTTCCAGGGACCTGGGATGATGTCTTGACTCAATCCCAACATTGCTTTGTCTGGCTACAGATTCTGTACTTGGCACTTTTATCCCCTATCTACTCTATATCCCAAGTGGCTAGGAATAGATTTCTTTTCAGTCTTGACTCTGTTATCAATCTCTCTCGCAACCTAGCAGAGCGCCTGAGAGTTTGGTTTGTTTGTCTGTGCTGACTGAAAGCATTTCTCCTATCCGTACAGGAATCCTGTTCTGTTTGACAACCCAGAAAGGGAAGATCTAGGGTTGGCATTCCTTTAAGAGGTCCAAGAGGGACTTGTTCTTGAGGGGAGATGCTCATCTATCTATCCTTTCAGTATTACTTTGGCCCTGGATTTCTTCAAGAGTATCCTTACTGATTTCTCTAGGACCAGAAAAGAGAATGGCTCACCAGTGCTTGCCATGCTTGACCCTAGGCTCTCAGAGGTCTCCTTAGTTGCTGGTGGAGATCTTTCTCTTATATGTATTCTCGTGCCTTTGCAGAAACCTTAAGGGACAATGATTCCACCATTGAATGCTATTCCATACTTTGGATTCAAAATATCATTTTGAAAACCCAGGTGGTGGAGTTGTCTGTCCCCAATCCAGAGTTGCCTGACCCCTAAACGGTTCTGGCCCAGTTTACCTGTCTGAACGCATCTCTTCCTATCTAGGTGTTTAAGACTGTCTGGAGAGGCCCCGCTCTCGGTCCTGCCTTCTTTGCAGATCAGATTGGCAGGAACGAGAGGCAGGGCCTTCTCAGCGGTGGCCCCCCGGCTATGGAATGCCCTCCCTAGGGACATTAGACTGGCCCCCTCCCTCCTGACATTTCAAAAGAGAGTTAAGACCTGGCTGTTCGAGCAGGCATTTGCAGACACAGTATAACTGATTAATTGAGAGTCATGGAATGACAGGACAATGCAATGGAAAATTATTTTAATGATGAGATGCTGAGAACTGTATTTTATGGTTTTAGTTGTTAATTGTTTATTGCTTTTACATGGTTTATACTATATGTAATTGTTTTTGACTGTATTTTATCTTGTGGTGCATTGATTGCCAAATGTAAACCGCCTCAAGTCGCCTCCAGGCTGAGAGGGGCGGTATACAAGCATAGTAAATAAATAAATAAATAGGCCGAGGAAAAGAGGACAAAGAGACACTCTCCATGTGGATCCTAACTGCTGCACTCCAGGCCAGGAAAGCCCTCTGACTTTAAGCACCACACAGCTGAGTAGGAATGCAAGCAGTTTATTGTAGATATTTTAAAAACAGTAGCAGTTAAAAAAAAAAACACTCCATAAAATTGGTAAATCCAATTAGGTAGAAAGATAAGCAGGAACAAATAGACCAGGAAATTGATCCATAAAAGTTCATGAAAAACAAAGGCAGAAACTTCCAAGGTGAAATCACAAAACTTGAATCATGAATCAATCAAGGCACTTAACACACAAGTCTATCCAAGGCAAGGCTTCCAAGGACCAGGAAAGATGTCTTGACTAAGTTCCAATGTTGCTTCGTCTGACTACAGATTCTGTACTTGGCACTTTTATCCCCTCATCTACTCTATGTCCCAAGTGGCCAGAAATGGATTTCGTTTCAGCCTTGACTCTGTTATCAATCTCTTTCTCTCTCAGACTGGCGGTACGCCTGAGAGATTGGTTTGTTTGCCAGTGCTGACTGAAAATATGCCTTCTATCTACTGGCTCATCAATTTCTGCAGCAGGTCCAGGTGCTGAGCTATTCTTAGGCTCAAAGTCATGGGTAGAAATTCAGGCCCGCTTCCAGAGACCATACCATCATCCCCAAATCCTTCAGGAATATTCTCATCAGAAAAGACACCTTGAACAGGAATCTGATTGTCATTCTCTTGCATCAATAGCAACCTAATCATTAGAAACATCAACCTCATTGGGTTGTTGTAGGTTTTTTCAGGCTATATGGCCATGGTTTAGAGGCATTCTCTCCTGACATTTCGCATGCATCTATGGCAAGCGTCCTCTCAGAGCTACCTCTGAGGATGCTTGCTATAGATGCAGGCGAAACGTCAGGAGGGAATGCCTCTAGAACATGGCCATATAACCCGAAAAAACTTACAACAACCCAGTGATTCCAGCCATGAAAGCCTTTGACAATACAATCAACCTCATTGTCATTCCCAACACCCAGAGTACCCTGATCATTAGACACAATCACAGGCTGAACTCCAACACTATCCCTCCATAATCCTTTCTGCAGAAGAGCCAATGAGGGGAGGAAATAGTGTTGTTTGGCTGCTTTCTTCCCTTGTGATGACCACAGTCTTGGCAAAGGGCTTTTCTTCCAGTGCTGAAGCTCCTAAAGGGAGCAGGCAGAGTGACTTTTCCAGGCAATAAGTACATGTTTTGGGGAAAGACAGTAGTTGCCCGTAGAAATATGAATTGCAATCGTTTTCAATAGGCCGAAGTCTGCCTATGCCTGGACTACAGCTTCCATCATCCCTGCCCAAACCCAATGGCGTCAGTCCCCAAGGCGGTGGTAGTCCTCTATGACGGAACGGAGCGTCTCAAAGGCCTCCCCGAAGTGCCCCTCCTCACAGCCGTGCCTCTGGTACCAGTGGAGGAAGGCCCGGCTCTCGTACATGGCGTGCGCCCCATGCGCCACTCTTTGGAGGAAGTCGGCTGCGCTGCTGTGGTTGGCACAGACCGTCAGCGTGTGATGGTGGCAACCGAACGGAGCCGCAAGGCCAGAGGAAGGGTCTGCAAGGAAGGCCAAGAGGAGGCATTAGAATCCCAGAAGGGACCCCAATCTAGCCCCATTCGAACAGGCAAAGGTATACAAGTTACACATTTATTTGACGTTTAGACCATATTGAGTTGGAGTTGGAGTCCAAAACACCTGGAGGGAGGACCCAAGTTGGCCCAGGCCTGGTCTAAAGCAAGGGGTTAGACTGAATGGCCTCTGGAGTCCCTTTCAAATCAATGCCTCTACCCAACAATGACGAATCCAAGCCTATTGGGCTGACCTGTCCAGTAAGTGGCGGGAAAGGGGTTCCAGGGGATGCAGCGGTAGGCCTGCTTGAGCTTCCGCAGCACCAAATCGGGGTTCAGGAGGAAGCTGTGCTCTTGGGGACCCCGGGCCACGGCGAGAAGGGCGGTGCTGTGGTGCTGCCCAAAAACCTGTTAAGGATAAAGGCACAGAAAAAAGAGCAAGGGCACACAGGCAAACAAACCAATCACTCAGGCGTTCTGCCAGACTGAGAGAGAGATTGATAACAGAGTCAAAGTTGAAACCAGTCTGCTCAAATCTGTTCTGGAAGCTTCAGCAGATGCACGGTTATTTATTTATTTATTTACTTACAGTATTTATATTCCGCCTTTCTCACCCCGCAGGGGACTCAGGGCGGATTACAGTGTACACATATATGGCAAACATTCAATGCCAATTTGACATACAACATATACAGACATACATAGAGGCTATTTATTTTTTTCTGGCTGCCAGGGGAGCTGTCGGTTTCATCATCCATCTGCGACACTGATGAAGTACTTCCGCATTCCCCGCATGCTTTGCTGGAGTGCTTTTGCTGGAGTCTTTTTTAGGGCCTCATAAATTAGTTAATTTAGCCTCCCCACACATAGGTGGTACCCAATTTTCCTACTTGACAGATGCAACTGTCTTTCGGGTTGCAAAGGTCGACAACAGGCTACACAATTGGTTGGAAGCCCACTCCAACCCAGGCTGGCTTCGAACTCATGACCTTTTGGTCAGAGTGATCTTAATGAAGCTGACACTCAGCCAGCTGCGCCACAATCTTTGGTGGGACTACAAATCCCAGAATCCTGAGGTTGTACTCCTACAAAGGAGCTTTCCTTTGCTAGAAAGATATCGTTTTTCCTTCACAACTTCCTCCTAGCACTCTTACTGTATTGTACCAGCCCTCAGTCTTAGATCACAGGCCGTCCCCGAGTTACAAACATATGACTTACAAGTGACTCCTAGGTAAGAACGAGGGTGAGACAACAGGAAATGAGAGAAATCTATTCACCTTGAACTACCAGAAAAGGCAGATAATAAAATAATAATAATAACATTTTTGATGGGGGGAAAAGTGGGTGCGACTATTACGTGAGGAAAAAAATGCCTTTGATTCTCTAGTTTCTATTTGCCAGCTTTGTTTCTGCAGAGCCATTTGGGGCTGATTCTCTCTTCCTTCCTTCTTTCTTCGAAGGCAAGGCATTTAAAAAGAACTACAAAACCTTTAAGAAGGCAAATTCACTTCCGAAGGAGTTATTATCATAGGAAAAAAGGGCTTTATCTCCAACCCTTGTTTTCACAACAAGCTACATTTTGCAAAATCCAATGATCACAGGGACAGGAAGTGAGATGAAACTTTCTAAACAGGGGTATTTATCCTTCCCTGTACTATGCAATCTATATAAATAAAAATGTAATGTTCGTTTGTGGGATTAAAAGAACTCAAAAACCACTGGACGAATTGACACCAAATTTGGACACAAGACACCTAACAACCCAATGTATGTCCTTAACTCATAAAAACATTGAAAAACACAGCAGAAGAGACTTAAAAAGCCCCAAAAAGCTAAATGACGAAAAGCTAAATGACAATACAATAAAAAGGGAAGAAAGAGGGAGGGAAGGGGAAGAAAGAAAGGAAGAAAAGAAAAGAAAGAAAGAAAGAAGGAGGGAAAGAAAGAAAGAAAGAAAGAAAGAAAGAAAGAAAGAAAGAAGGAAAGGAAGAAGGAAGCATGGAAGCAAAGAGGGAAGGAAGGAAATAGGTAGAAAAGGAAGAAAGGAGAGAAAGAGGCAGGGAAAGAAAAAGGGGGAAGGAAGGAAAGTTTGAGAAAGAAGAAAGAGAAGGAAAGAAAAAGGGGAGCGAAGGAAGGGGGAAGATGTAGAGAAAGAGGGAGGGAAGGAAAGAAGGAAAGAGAGAAGGAAGAAAAGAGACAGCAGAAGAAAAAGAAAAAGGGGGAAGAAAAAGGAAAGAGAAGAGAAGGAAGGAAGGAAGGAAGGAAAGAGGGAGTGAAGGAAGGAGGGAAAGAAGGAGAGAAAGAGGGAAGGTTGGCCACAGCAACGCGTGGCAGGTACAGCTAGTGCTGATATAAAAACAAACCTACAGAACTTAAGAGCATCTACAGAACCTCTCTCGTTCATAACTTGGGGACTGGCTGCACTTATCAGTGTCATCATGCATTAAACTTTTGGAAAAAAATGCCTTGAAGCAAGGATGGGGGTAAAAAGTGGGTGCGACTATTACGTGAGGAAAAAAATGCCTTTGATTCTCCGGTTTCTATTTGCCAGCTTTGTTTCTGCAGAGCCATTTGGGGCTGATTCTCTCTTCCTTCCTTCTTTCTTTGAAGGCAAGGCATTTTTTAAAAAACTACAAAACCTTTAAGAAGGCAAATTCACTTTTGAACGAGTTATTATCATAGGAAAAAGGGCTCTCCACTGAAGCTTTATCTCCAACCCATGTTTTCACAACAAGCTACATTTTGCAAAACCCAATGATCACAGGGACAGGAAGTGAGATGAAACATTCTAAACAGACAGCAAGGCAAACACCACAAGATACCCATTTGCAAAGAAAGAGGGGTTCAGATCTGCTGAAGGATACAGGGTTTCCGCGAGGAGACTCTCGAGGCAAGGGCTGCGCCACCGAAGATGCCAAGCGATCCCAAAGCACCGTCCCCCTGAGGAAGGAGAAGGGAAAGGCCTGTTATGCCATGCAAAAAAGAGGGAGGACAAAGCTAGATCGTTGTGCTCTGCCTAGGAGCCATGGCAGTTAAAAGTAGGGCCAAACTCCATTCATGTGGCACTGTAGATGCACTCCAAGGGGCAAAGTCCTGAGTTACAGACTGATTTTACAGCCCAACAATGAGCACGCACATGAAGAGTGGTATATGGCACATGTTCTGTATCACAAAAACTAGAGCCGAGAGAGGAAAACTGGTGCAATTTTTGGTATCAGCAAGGCAAATAGACCCAGAAACAGGTCTAACATTTGAGGCAGCAAAATGTGTGTTGGCTAGTGTTATTATCAGAAATGCTCAGGGTCTAGCTTTGCTCTCTCCTCTTGATTTTCTGGTTTCAGGGAACACATAACTTTGAGAGAAGAGAGGAGTTTCAAAGACCCCCATTTTGTAGTTTTAAAACTGCCTTGCCTTCAGAGACGGGAGGGAGGGAGAAGCAGCCCCAAAGGGGGTGCGACTATTATGCGAGGTAAACAAAAATACCATTTTTTGTATCCAAAAAAGGGGAAATACAACTATTATGTGGTGGTAACTATTATGTGATGAAATAGGTGTAATCCCACTTCCTGATTTCTACTATAGCTGTTTTTTTTTAACATTGCAACAAGTATTGTATTGGGGTGCGACTATTATGCGAGAAAAAAAAATAAAAATTTGGCACCAAGAAAATGGGGATGTGTCTATTATGTGGTGACAACTATTATGTGATGAAATAGGGGTAATTCCACTTTCTCATTTCTACTATAGTAGTGTTCTATAACATTTCAACAAATATTGCATTGGGGTTGCGATTATTATGTGATGGCAACTCTTATGTGATGAAATATGGGTAATCTCACTTCCTGATTTCTACTATAGCAGTTTTCTTTAATATTGCAACAAGTATTCTATTGGGGGTGCGACTCTTATGTAAGAAAAACAAAAATACAAATGTTGGCATCCAAAAAATGGTCACATTTGGTGGCAACTCTTATGTGATGAAATATGGATAATCCCACTTCCTGATTTCTACTATAGCTGTTTTTTTTAACATTGCAACAAGTATTCTATTGGGGGTGCGACTATTATGCGAGAAAAACAAAAATAAAATTTTGGCACCAAGAAAATGGGAATGTGACTATTATGTGGTGACAACTATTATGTGATAAAATAGGGGTAATCCCACTTTCTGATTTCTACTATAGTAGTGTTCTATAACATTTCAACAAATATTGCATTGGGGTTGCGATTATTATGTGATTGCAACTATTACGTGATGAAATATGGGTAATTCCACTTTCTGATTTGTACTATAGCAGCTTTCTTTAACATTTCAACAAGTATTGTATTGGGGTGCAACTATTATGTAAAAAAACCCAAAAATACCCATGTTGGAACCCAAAAAATGGAGGTGTGACTATTATGTGGTGGCAACACTTATGTGATGAAATATGGGTAATCCCACTTTCCGATTTCTTCTATAGCAGCTTTCTATAACAGTTCAGCAAGTATTGTATTGGGGGTGTGACTATTATGCGAGAAAAAACAAAAATAAAATTTTGGCACCAAAAATGGGGATGTGACTATTATGTGGTGGCAACTATTACATGATGAAGTACAGGTAATTCCACTTTCCAATTTCTTCTATGGCAACTTTCTATAACAGTTCAGCAAGTATTGTATTGGGATGTGACTATTATGCGAGAAAAACAAAAATACATTTTTTGGCACCCAAATTACATTCCTCTGTAATACAGGTGGTTTACAGGAACCACCATAAGCACCATAAAACAGGATATAAACACAAAGGAAGGAAACCACAGACTAAAGCTGGACCTGCAGGATAGGTTGTACACTTTCCTCCTGAGAATGTTCCCAACAGCTTCAATGGCGACTGGTTAGTTTCCAGACACAAGTGAACAACAAACACTTGTAAACAAACACACCAATAGATACATGCACAGAGCTTCACCAATTCATTATTATCTGTGTCCACAGAGGGGTCTCAGCACCCACCGTGTGCCACTTTGAGCTGCGTGAAGGAACTTGAGGGCCGGCATGGGGCAGACGGACCGCAGCAGTTCCCAGGGCTCCTGCCCAAGGCTGATCCCACTGCAAAACAAAGAGACATATGTAAGAGCAGAGCTTTCCAAACTGTGTGTTGTCACACAACTGTGTGTTGGCTGCATCATGTAGGCATGCCACGTTAACCTATCAAGACACCTCTGAGTCTATGTGAAATAAGCAAAAACAACCTGCCAAAGGGAGCAATCTGACATCTAAATGAGATGTTGGAATTTAAAACACATCTGAAGACCTATCTCTTCCGGCAGGCCAGTTTTAGGCATGTATTTTAAACTCACGTCCTATGTTTTAATCTGTCTTGTGTGTATTTTTATATGTATCATGTAGAACACTGTTTCTCAACCTGGGGGTCGGGACCCCCATGGGGGTCGCGAGGGGGTGTCAGAGGGGTCGCCAAAGACCATCAGGAAACATAGTATTTTCTGTTGGTCGTGGGGGTTCTGTGTGGAAAGTTTGGTCCAATTCTGTCGTTGGTGGAGTTCAGAATGCTATTTCATTGTGGGTGAACTATAAATCCAAACAATTACAACTCCCAAATGGCAAGGTCTATTTTCTCCAAACTCTACCAGTATTCACATGTGGGCATATTGAGTATTTGTGCCAAGTTTGATCCAGATCCACCATTGCTTGAGTCCACAGTGTTCTCTGGATGTAGGTGAACTAGAACTCCAAAAAACTCAAGGTCAATGTCTACCGGACCTTCCCAGTATTTTCTCTTGGTCATGGGAATTCTGTGTGCCCAGTTTGATTCAATTCCATCATTGAGGGGGTTCAGAAGGCTCTTTGATTTTAGGTGAACTATAAATCGCAGCAACTCCAACATTATCAAATGACAAATGACAAAAATAACAATCACCCCCAGCCTCACCAGTATTGGGCATATTGGGTATTTGTGCCAAATTTGGTCCAGTGACTGAAAATACATCCTGCATATCAGATATTTAGATTACGATTCATAACAGTAGCAAAATCACAGTTGTGAAGTAGCAATGAAAATCACATTATGTTTGGGGGTCACCACAACATGAGGACCTGTACTAAGGGGTCGCGGCATTAGAACGGTTGAGAACCACTAATGTAGAAATATGTTTTAATATGCATCTTTTATATAAATACATTTTAATATGTGTGTTTGTAGAATTTTTGCAATGTTTGTATACTTTGACTCTCCCGTGACCCACCTTGAGCCAGCAAAAGAGGCAGGTAAGAAGTAAAATAATAATAATAACAGGGAAAAGGGGGTGCGACTATTACATGAGGAAAAAAATCTGTCTTTGATTCTCTGGTTTCTATTTTCTAGCTTTATTTCTGCAGAGCCATTTGGGGCTGATTCTCCCTTCCTTCGTTTTTTCTTCGAAGTCAAGGTAGCTTAAAAACTATATAATAATAATAATAATTATTATTATTATTATTCCCTGTTGCAACTCAGAGTAAGCTTCACCTTGCTTCCAAACACCACCACACAAGAGCTGTAGTTTTACAGTTTATTAAGGAAAAAATCCAAATCAAAATAAAGAATAAGCATTGCAAAGTTCCAAAGATTAAGGTTAAATGCAGAATATAGTTCCAAAGATCTTCAGGTAAAAGCAGGAGACACAATCCTGTTGGTAAAGTTCAAACCAGAGTCCCAGGTACAAGCAATGAAACAATTGTCCCATGAATCACCATGCAAGAAATCCCAAGCATACTGCTTTCCACGCTAAGATTATTCCATGAAGCTTTCAGGCTAATAAGCTACGTTGAACTAGCACTTTCTCTTGGTTTGTAAGAAGCCTAAATACCTTTCTAACATGAAAACATTACATGAAATCATTGCAATGACCTTTCACCGAGCTGGCTTCTCGTTTGCCAGCCAGGCGAGAACTTCTCCTGACCCGGAGCTTGCCGGGTCAGGGCACTATCAAGGCTTTCAGTATTTTCAGTATCAGCGTGGGAAGGAGGCAAATCCTCCCCATCTGTTTGCTATCTTCTCTCCTTCGTTAAAATTCCTTTCTCTTGGGAACCGCTGTGTTGATGTTGACTGTGCACTGTCTGACTCTGCACTGTCTGTGCTGTCTGTGGGAGCCGCAGGCCCAGAGATCTGAGGCACAGAAAAAGAGCCAGGAATCTGAATCCCATCATCCTCATCATCACAGAACATCTCAGCCACAACAGTCCCAGAGGATAGGATCAGGATCCAAAGGGACCTTAGCACAGCTGATTGTTCAAAACTAACAATGTGAATTTCAACAGGAACAAGTGTACACTATGGCACTTTAGCAATGAAAATGAAATGTACAGATATTGGATGGGTGACCCCTAGTTTGAAAAAAGACCACGAGAGAGGGATCTAGGAGACTTAGTGGATCACAAGATGGGCAGGAGACAACAGAGAGGGCACCAGGTGTGAGGCCTTGTTTCAAAGACCTGCTTCGGGCTCACCTTTGTGTCGTGAATATCTTGAGCGGATGGAAAAGCCCAGCCAGGCAGGATGCGATGTAGGCGTTCATGGTGGCGAAGGAGACCTGCCCTGAAGCATCATCTCCTTCCTTCTGCTGCATGGATGCCGCTCGCTTCAACACCTCATCGTTTTGGAAGAGAAGGACACCATCTGCGAACCTGGACAAAGCCAAAGAGGCATTTCCAATAGTTAGTTTTGGGGTGATTACTCCTAGAAGCTGAGCGAAGGAAGATCGATGCTTTTGAGCTGTGGTGTTGGAGGAAAGTTCTGAGAGTGCCTTGGACTGCGAGAAGATCCAACCAGTCCATCCTCCAGGAAAGAAAGCCCGACTGCTCACTGGAGGGAAGGAGACTAGAGACAAAGTTGAAGTCCTTTGGCCACATCATGAGGAGACAGCAAAGCCTAGAGAAGACAATTATGCTGGGGAAAGTGGAAGGCAAAAGGAAGAGGGGCCGACCAAGGGCAAGATGGATGGATGGCATCCTTGAAGTGACTGGACTGACCTTGAAGGAGCTGGGGGTGGTGACGGCTGACAGGGAGCTCTGGCGTGGGCTGGTCCATGAGGTCACGAAGAGTCGGAGACGACTGAATGAATGAACAACAAACACTAGAAGGGATTTTAGACGTTCCCCGTCCAATAAAGTAACTTTTCCCAGTGTTATTTCTATTAAAAGACTGGAAAACTTATTTACAGAGATCACAAATCCCAGAAGACTAGGTTTCTATGAGCTGTAGTAAAAAAACAAACAAACCATATTTCATAGCATAATAGTCACACTTTCCCACCTCCCCCTTTTCCCATAAAAAATGGGGTGCGACTATTATGTGAGGAAAAATCTGCCTTTGAATGATCGGTTTCCGTTTTCTAGCTGTGTTTCTACAGAGCCATTGGGGACTGATTCTTCCTTCTTTCTTTCCTTCCTTCCTTCTTCGAAGGCAAGGCAGTTTAAAAACTATAAAATGGAGGTCTCTGGAGCTCCACTCTTCTCTCCTTCCTCTTTCCTCCTTGGACTTAAGGCGGTTTAAAAAAACCTAGAACTGAGGTCTCTTGAACTTGGATCTTCCCTCTTTCTTCCTTTCTCCAAAGGACTCCATTCCAGGTTTTTGTAAACTGTCTTAAGGCCTTGGGAGAAGGAGGGAGGAGAGAAGAGTGGGGCTTCAGAGACTTCCATTTTGTAAGTTTGGAGAAAGAAAAAAGGGAGGGGGGGAGAATCAGCCCCAAATGTGGGTGTGACTATTATGTGAGAAAAACCAAAATACAATTTTTGGCACCCCCCAAAATTGGGGTGCGACTATTATGTGGTGACAACTAATATGTGATGTTGTTGTTCATTCGTTCAGTCGTCTCCGACTCTTCGTCACCTCATGGACCAGCCCACGCCAGAGCTCCCTGTCGGCCGTTACCACCCCCAGCTCCCTCAAGGTCAGTCCAGTCACTTCAAGGATGCCATCCATCCACCTTGCCCTTGGTCGGCCCCTCTTCCTTTTGCCTTCCACTTTCCCCAGCATCATTGTCTTCTCTAGGCTTTCCTGTCTCCTCATGATGTGGCCAAAGTACTTCAACTTTGTCTCTAGTATCTAATATGTGATAAATACAGGTAATTCCACTTTCCAGTTTCTACTGTAGTAGCTTTCTATAACATTTCAACAAGTATTACATTCCTCTGTAATTGATGTGATTTACAGAAACCTCTATAAGCACATAGGCTAACCACAGAGTAAAGCTATGTCTGCAAGATGGTTTGTACACTTCCCGCTGAGATTTTTTTGACGTTTATTTTTTAAAAATAATGTTTTATTTGAGAAAAATGTACTAGCCGTCCCTTGCCATGCGTTGCTGTGGCCCACATGGGGGAGGTTTGGCCCAATTCTCTCATTGGTGGGGTTCAGAATGCTCTGTGATTGTAGGTGAACTATAAAGCCCAGCAACTACAACTCCCAAATGCCAAGGTCCATTTCCCCCAAACTCCACCAGTGTTCACATTTGGGCATATTGAGTATTCGTGCCAAATTTGGTTCAGATCCATCATTGTTTGTGTCCACAGTTATCTCTGGATGTAGGTGAACTACAACTCCAAAACCAAAGGACACTGCCCACCAAACTCTTCCAGTATTTTCTGTTGGTCATGGGAGAACTGTGTGTCAGGTTTGGTTCAATTCCATCGTTGGTGGGGCTCAGAATGCTCTATGATTGTAGGTGAACTATAAATCCCAACAACTACAACTATGAAATGACAAAATCATTTTTTTTTAGTTATAGACATACATTGGGTTATTAGGTGTCTTGTGTCCAAATTTGGTGTCAATTCGTCCAGTGGTTTTTGAGTTCTGTTAATCCCACAAACGAACATTACATTTTTATTTATATAGATACTATACATTTCCCCTTCTCCAGAGCCATCTCTTCTTCTAAAGTCCCACCAAAAGTTCAATTCTTCATTTGGAGGTAAATTCCCGCTGAGATTGTTCCAGAACTCCATCATTACCATTAAGGAATTTCTGAAAACCAAGGATGCAAGTCCAGAGCTTGGACTACATCTTCCAGAATCCTGTGGCCAGCATGGCTTTTCCGGGGAATTTCCTGATAGTAGGGGATGATGGGAGTTTTAGTTGAAAGAAGAAATGTTTCTGGGTATGTTTTTGTCAAGTCACCTCTTGAGTTATTTATTTGTTGTTTCAGAGCAACCAGTCAATTGTATTACATTTCTAACAGAACAAAACAAGCAAACAGACAAAGAACAAAATTTGCAAGCTTGGGAGTTGACTAGATGTCCTTTGACCAGGATCTGGCCACTTGGAGTGCCTCTGGTGTTGCCGCAAGAAGGTCCTCCATTGTGCATGTGGCAGGGCTCAGGGTGCATTGCAGCAGGTGGTCAGTGGTTTGCTCTTCTCCGCACTCGCATGTCGTGGATTCCACTTGGCGGCCCCATTTCTTAAGGTTGGCTCTGTATCTCGTGGTGCCAGAGTGCAGTCTGTTCAGTGCCTTCTAAGTTGCCCAGTTTTCTGTATGCCCAGGGGGGAATGTCTCTCATTGGTTGAGGTTCTGGATTTGAGCTTGCCACTTTTGGACTCTCGCTTGTTCTAGCGAGTGTCTCTGTAGATCTTAGAAAACTATTTCTAGATTTAAGTCGTTGACGTGCTGGCTGATACCCAAACAGGGGATGAGCTGGAGATGTCTCTGCCTTGGTCCTTTCACTATTGGCTGCTACTTCCCGGCGGATGTCAGGTGGTGCAATACCGGCTAAGCAGTGTAATTTCCCCAGTGGTGTAGGGCGCAGACACCCCGTGATAATGCGGCATGTCTCATTAAGAGCCACATCCACTGTTTTAGTGTGGTGAGATGTGTTCCACACTGGGCATGCATACTCAGCAGCTCATAGCGCAAGGGCAGATGTCTTTACTGTATCTGGTTGTGATCCCCAGGTTGTGCCAGTCAGCTTGCGAATGATATTGTTTCTAGCACCCACTTTTTGCTTGATGTTCAGGCAATGCTTCTTGTAGGTCAGTAATGGCACGATCATCAGCATAGATGAAGCTCTCTGTCCCTTCTGGCAGTGGCTGGTCATTTGTGCAGATGTTGAACATGTCTGGATGGAGCAAGCACGCTCCCCTGAGGCAGGCCGTTCTTCTGTTTCCGCCATCTGCTTCTCTGGCCCTGGAACTCAACAAAAAAGCTCCTGTTTTGTAGCAGGTTTCCTATGAGGCGGGTGAGGTGGTAGTCCTTTGTGGTATTATACATTTTTCTCAGGAGGAGGCGGTGGTTGAGTTATGGTGACCCCATAAAGTTCACAGAATTTTCTTAGGTAATGGAATGGAGTCTGCAATTGCAGTTATTCATTCGCAGTCTCTCATCCAAGTCCTAACCAGGGCTGACCCTGCTTAGCGTCCAATGTCCAACCAGATCTGGTGCCTTTAAGGTTCTATGAAAAAAGGAATGAGACCACATGGATCATATTTTGCTTTTTTGAATATTGTAAAATAAACATACCTCTGCAGCCAGGAAAGGCACAGCAAGGTGTTGTAGTGCTGAAGAGAGCTTTCACCACTTTGATGCGGAGCCACCGAGACGGACAGAATCCGGCCGAGCGGATACTCCTCCCTGATGGCTTCACACAGCCGGGAACTCAGGCCTGTGGAGGAAGAAGAGCCCAACATATGCTGGTCAGGAATGGAGGACTGGTTTGTTTTGCCCATCCTCTGCCTTGATGGTAGATTGCATGGCGAGCAAGGATTTAAATTCTCACCAGCTCCAGTTCCACCGCTCAGGCTGTGGACGAGCACTGTCCCGCAATAGCAGTCCTTGCGCTCCACTTCCTTCCGCAGGCTCTCCATTGTCTGGCTAAACAAGTCCCTTTCACCCTTGGAGCCATAATAACCTGTGGAAGGACAAAATGTTAGCTAGGGAATGCATTGTTAGATAGAAAGAAATGCATTGGCAGTGATTCTATTGTGTAAAACAGGAGCTTTTTTGTTGAGTTCCAGGGTCAGAGAAGTAGATGGCGGAAACAGAAGAACGGCCTGCCTCAGGGAAGCGTGCTTGCTCAATCCATGTACAACATTTACACAAATGACCAGCCACTGCCAGAAGGGACAGAGAGTTTCATTTATGCTGATGATCGTGCCATCACCGCTCAAGCAGGGAGCTTTGAGATGGTTGAACAGAAGCTCTGCGAAGCTCTAGGTGCTCTTACTGCCTATTACAGGGAAATCCAGCTGATCCCTAATCCATCTAAAACACAGACATGTGCTTTTCACCTCAAGAACAGATAAGCATCCCGAGCTCTGAGGATCACCTGGGAAGGAATCCCACTGGAGCATTGCAGCACCCAAATACCTGGGAGTCACTCTGGACCGTGCTCTGACCTACAAGAAGCACTGCCTGAACATCAAGCAAAAAGTGGGTGCTAGAAACAATATCATACGAAAGCTGACTGGCACAACCTGGAGATCACAACCAGACACAGTGAAGACATTTGCCCTTGCACTATGCTACTCTGCTGCTGAGTACGCATGCCCAGTGTGGAAGACATCTCACCACGCTAAAACAGTAGATGTGTCTCTGAATGAGACATGCCGCATTATCACGGGGTGTCTGCGCCCCACACCAATGGAGAAATTACACCGCTTAGCCGGTATTGTACCACCTGACATCCGTCGGGAAAGTAGCAGCCAATAGTGAAAAGACCAAGGCAGAGACATCTCCAGCTCATCCCCTGTTTGGGTATCAGCCAGCACGTCAACAACTTAAATCAGAAATAGTTTTCCAAGATCTACAGAGACACTCGCTGGAACACCTCAGCAAGCGAGAGTCCAAAAGTGGCAGGCTCAAACCCAGAACCTCAATCAATGGCTGATACCCAATGAGAGACTCCCCCCTGGGCACACAGAAGACTGGGCGACTTGGAAGGCGCTGAACAGACTGCGCTCTGGCACCACGAGATGCAGAGCCAACATTCAGAAATGGGGCTACAAAGTGGAATCCTCAACATGCGAGTGTGGAGAAGAGCAAACCACTGATCACCTGCAATGCAATGCAACCTGAGCCCTGCCACATGCACAATGGAGGACCTTCTTGCGGCAACACCAGAGGCACTCCAAGGGGCCAGATACTGGTCAAAAGACATTTAATCAACTACTAAGCTTGCAAACTTTATGTTTTGTCTGTTTGTTTGTTTTGTTCTGTAAGAAATGTAATACAATTGACTGGTTGCCCTGACACGACAAATAAATAAATATTGTGTAAAATACAGTTCTAATGGATATGTGGAGGCCCAGATCACGGCCATAAGGAAGCAGGCCTTTTTTCATCTTCACCAGGCAAGGAAATTGGCATCCTACCTTTGGGTAGAAGCATTGGCAACAGTAATCCACACAACAGTCACCACGAGGTTGGACTATTGCAACGCCTTATATGCCGGCCTTCCGAAGTCAATAACCCAGAAGATTTGGATGGTCCAAAATGCGGCAGCCAGGCTGCTAGCGGGATCATCTGTAAGATCCCATATCACACCGATTCTGCAACAACTGCATTGGCTACCAATAGAACATCGGATCTCTTACAAGATACTGATCCTGACATTTAGAGCTCAAAATGGCCAAGGACCTTTCTATCTTAAGGACCGCCTCATTCCTTTTCTCCATCAGTGGTCACCTCGATCCACCCAGGAAAATCTCCTCTACATAGCGGGCCCTAGGGAGGGAGGGACACCTGGAAGCTACAAGGCATAGTAGAGCTTTTTCGACCTATGCTCCAATTCTGTGGAACTCATTGCCTCCATACATTAGAGCAATGTCGGAGTTGCGACCTTTTGTAAAGGTTGTGCATTTAAGTAATCAGATCGAATTTGCCAAATAGTCACTGTTGAATGTTTTTATGTTTAATGTTTTTATATTGTGTAAATGCTATTTTAGATTGTAAGTCGCTCGGAGTACCTTGGTGGAGAGCGACTAATTAAGAAATAAAGTGAAGTGAAGTGAAGTGAAGATGTAGCCCTCCCCAGGGGTCCCAACCCCCAAGTTGAGAAACACTGGATTAGAAGTTGCAAGCTCTTCAGTTCTTCTGCTTTCCTTCTTACTACCTAGAACTTTAATGTGCTTTTTTATTACAATAAACTGTTTGCCTTTCCTTTGGACTCCTGTGTGATGCTCTGGTCCTAGGTGGCTTCAAGTCTGGGTTGCGACAACCAGCGCCTGCTTTGTGGAAGTTGGACTTACCATAAGCCCAGTTGTTGCCTCTTCCGGCCTTCCCTACAATGAGGTTGGACTCTCTGAAGGCTCTGAATGGGAGAGACAAAAGAAGGAAATGGGAATCATTCAACAGTGTTGTACTCCAGAGCAGGATTCCCTCTGACTCCCTACACCACACAGTTGGGTTAAAATAGCAAGCAGTTTATTGAAGGTAGTAAAAGCCAAAGCAATGAAAGTAATCCACAGTAAAAAGCTGGCTAAAAGCTCGTCTCTTCAAGGCTTCATCAAAATCTGCACCTGGAGATAACTAACCCTAGGATTGCAGCTCAGAGCTTGGCACATACCCCCCGCCGCCCATGACCCGTTTTATGTCTTGGAGAATTGAAATTTCCAGGCCGTTTTCAAGGGCAGCCCCACGTAGAGCGCATTACAGTAGTCCAATCTAGAGGTGACCAAGGCATGGACCAGCCCGGCCAGATCAGCCTTTACGAGGTAAGGTCGCAGTTGGCGCACGAGTCTCAATTGTGCAAAAGCCCTCCCGGACACCGCAGACGCCTGAGCCTCAAGCGAAAGTGATGAATCCAAGAGGACTCCCAAACTGCGGAACTGCGTAACGTCAGGGGGAGTGTAACCCCGTCCAGCACAGGTTGCCACCCAATACCCCGATCCGGTTTTCGATTGACCAGGAGGACCTCTGTCTTGTCGGGATTGATCTTCAGCTTGTTCCTCCTCATCCAGACAGCCACAGCAGCCAAGCACTTCTCCAGCACTTGAGGGGCTTCCTTGGAATTAGGTGGAAATGAGTAATAGAGTTGTGTGTCATCTGCATAGAGATGGCACTTAACTCAAAAACTCCGGATGACCACTCCCAGCAGTTTCATGTAGATGTTAAAAAGCATGGGAGACAGAATAGAGCCTTGCGGGATCTCACAGGTCAAAGGCCAGGGGTCCGAGCAGGCATCTTCCAGCTTCACCATCTGGGATCGGCCCTCCAGGAAGGACTGGAGCCAGGACAAAACCGTGCCCCCGAGACCCATCCCAGAGAGCCGTCCCAGAAGGATACCATGATCAATCCATCCAGGGTGTTTTTCAATGAATCCCTGATAGAGCAGGCATGGCCCAAATAACCCATGCTTGTGTGATTGTGTGTGTATGTATATATGTATACATGTGTGCGTGATGCCGTAAATGGGAAGGGCAATCTCAAGGCACCCAAAATCTGGTAAGTTTCCAAAATGAAAAAAATGTAAAGCAGCAAAAACAGCAGTAGTTCAGCAGATGAGAAGCTTCTAATGCCAGCAGTAGAGCCATTGAGTTTCAGCAATTACAATATGCAACAATATTTGAAAAATATTTTGAGATTCTATCACAGGCATGGGCCAACTGCAGCCCTCCAGGTGTTTTGGACTTCAACTCCCATAATTCTTAACAGCCGGTAGGAATTATGGGAGTTGAAGTCCAAAACACCTGGAGGGCCGCAGTTGGCCCATGTCTGCTCTATCAGAGATTCATTGAAAAACACCCTGGATGCCTTCCTTTAAACTTTGGACTCTTACTTCCTCCCAATCTGTTTCTGCAGCCTTCGCACCACTTTGGGTTCGCTGTCCACACAGATGGCACTGAGTTTGCCGTCAAGGGAGCCGAACAGGGGCCTGGCAAGAGAGAAACATCCATGAGAAAAATCTTTAATCTCCACTTGCAGCCATCATTCATTTTCCTTCGCCTCTCTCTCTTGGTTCCCCAGGGAAAACATGGATTGCAAATTCCTCCCTAGCGCTGCATCTACACTGTGGAATTAATGCGGTTTGATACCCCTTTGGCATCTCCAGGTCAACCACAATCAGTTTTGGCTGATATTGATCACAGAATTGCACTGGAGGCACTAGAGATTCCTAGGGTGCACCTACACTGTGGAAATAATGGAGTTTGGTGTGTCAACTTTAGAATTAATGCAGTTTGGTGCATCTACACACTGTAGAATTAATGCAGTTTGGTGCATTGACATTAGAATTAATGCGGTTTGGTGCATCTACACTGTGGAATTAATTCAGTTTGGTCCATCTACACTGTGGAATTAATGCAGTTTGGTGCATCTATATTTGGTCCATATTTCGTTCTACATATAATTGTAATCCTTAGGGGCAGCTGGGCTTTCCACAGAAGTTGAGGAAGCAGGAACCCATTTTGTTTCCTTCTGCTTCAGGGTAAGCTTTGTTTAAATTTAACTGCTTTCAGCACTGCTTTGTTTGAGAGGAGGGGCTTCCTGAGTTTATAATTAACTGCTTTGTTTGAGAGGAGAGGCTTCCTGAGTTTATAATTAACTGCTTTGTTTGAGAGGAGGGGCTTCCTGAGTTTATAATTAACTGCTTTGTTTGAGAGGAGGGGCTTCCTGAGTTTATAATTAACTGCTTTGTTTGAGAGGAGAGGCTTCCTGAGTTTATAATTAACTGCTTTGTTTGAGAGGAGGGGCTTCCTGAGTTTATAATTAACTGCTTTGTTTGAGAGGAGGGGCTTCCTGAGTTTATAATTAACTGCTTTGTTTGAGAGGAGGGGCTTCCTGAGTTTATAATTAACTGCTTTGTTTGAGAGGAGAGGCTTCCTGAGTTTATAATTAACTGCTTTGTTTGAGAGGAGGGGCTTCCTGAGTTTATAATTAACTGCTTTGTTTGAGAGGAGAGGCTTCCTGAGTTTATAATTAACTGCTTTGTTTGAGAGGAGGGGCTTCCTGAGTTTATAATTAACTGCTTTGTTTGAGAGGAGAGGCTTCCTGAGTTTATAATTAACTGCTTTGTTTGAGAGGAGGGGCTTCCTGAGTTTATAATTAACTGCTTTGTTTGAGAGGAGAGGCTTCCTGAGTTTATAATTAACTGCTTTGTTTGAGAGGAGGGGCTTCCTGAGTTTATAATTAACTGCTTTGTTTGAGAGGAGGGGCTTCCTGAGTTTATAATTAACTGCTTTGTTTGAGAGGAGAGGCTTCCTGAGTTTATAATTAACTGCTTTGTTTGAGAGGAGAGGCTTCCTGAGTTTATAATTAACTGCTTTGTTTGAGAGGAGAGGCTTCCTGAGTTTATAATTAACTGCTTTGTTTGAGAGGAGGGGCTTCCTGAGTTTATAATTAACTGCTTTGTTTGAGAGGAGGGGCTTCCTGAGTTTATAATTAACTGCTTTGTTTGAGAGGAGAGGCTTCCTGAGTTTATAATTAACTGCTTTGTTTGAGAGGAGAGGCTTCCTGAGTTTATAATTAACTGCTTTGTTTGAGAGGAGGGGCTTCCTGAGTTTATAATTAACTGCTTTGTTTGAGAGGAGGGCTTCCTGAGTTTAAAAATTAACTGCTTTGTTTGAGAGGAGGGGCTTCCTGAGTTTAAAAATTAACTGCTTTGTTTGAGAGGAGGGGCTTCCTGAGTTTAAAAATTAACTGCTTTGTTTGAGAGGAGGGGCTTCCTGAGTTTAAAAATTAACTGCTTTGTTTGAGAGGAGGGGCTTCCTGAGTTTAAAAATTAACTGCTTTGTTTGAGAGGAGGGGCTTCCTGAGTTTAAAAATTAACTGCTTTGTTTGAGAGGAGGGCTTCCTGAGTTTAAAAATTAACTGCTTTGTTTGAGAGGCAGGGCTTCCTGGTTATCCTATATAAACCAGTGTCTGAACCC